TTTTTTTTTTGGTGGGGGGGGGGGGTCCTTATTTTTTCGTTTAATGGGCCCCAAAACTCTATTCTAATCATTAAGGCCCCTACATTATGCAATTCTGCAGCCCTCTATGTTTCGATGCCACCTGTTGGGTGCGTGGATCAAGTTAGGCGTCTGTGGAATTCGCTTCGCGCATCATGTTCGGGCCGGCTAAAATTGTGTACGGCTGTGGGGTTTAGGCTTAATGCAGGGGCCTAAATAATTACCAATACTACGTGTTTTCTGTTTTGGGTGTCGTCCTTATTATGCTTATAGTATCATATTCCCCAAAACCCCATTCGAATTATTAAGGCCCCTCTCTTACTGTGGGCTTTAAGGCTTTGGGGTTCAGAACACAAAGGGACTTGTGAGAGTTTCAAAGAGAAGCAAAGGTTCTCGATGGAGATCCCATACTCTCCGAAGGAGATACCTGTAGGATTATAAGATTTTGAGTTTGGGCTTAGGGTTCAGAGGATTTCCTATCGGATGGATATCTCGCTCCCGCGCGGGGCGACGTGCTCCGAGCTGCTTCCATATAATCGCGCGATCAGCGCCTGCAAGCGAGGCCAGCCGTTGGCTTGAGGATCACCCCTAAACCGTGGGCTCCCTAGCGGTTTTTTCATATAGGCCTTTCTGCTCCAAAGCAAGGTATAGGAAGGTGTGGGATTTGGCATCGAATTTAGGAACCTGAGTAAGAAACCCTGGCCCCCATTACCCGAAGGCCCCAATATTCCAGGATTTATGTGAAGAACCCCAACAAAGACCAAAGGTTTCTTAATCAGGTTACCCTAAACCCTAAACCCTAAACCCTAAACCCTAAACCCTAAACCCTAAACCCTAAACCCTAAACCCTAAACCTTACATTATTTGTGTTCATCGGGGGATGTGTGTAACTACTTGCGAGGACCCGGGTCCATTGGCCGTCTCCAGAAGCCCTCGACTAAAGCCCTGAAGCCCTAGAACAAAGCCTTAGAGCCCCAAAACGGTGATCTAAAGCCCTGAGGCCCTAGAACAAAGCCTTAAAGCCCCAAAACGGTGATCTAAAGCCCTGAAGCCCTATAACCAAGCCTTAAAGCCCCAAAACTTTGATCTAAAGCCCTGCAGCCCTCGAACAAAGCCTCAAAGTCTGATCTAGAGCCCTGAAGCCCTAGAACACAGCCTTAAAGACCCAAAGCTCTGATCTAAAGCCCCGAAGTCTTAAACAAAAACCCCGAAGCCCTAAACTAAAGGCCCCCCAAACTAAAGCCCTAAAGCCCCCCCGTGGAGCAGACAGGGCGTCAATGGCCCGGAGCTCTGAGCCTGCTCCAATCGGTGACTTCAAGCTTGAATGGGTTGGGGGATTAGGGTTTAGGGTTTAGGGTTTAGGGTTTAGGGTTTAGGGCGGATTAGGACCTAATTGTTTCGGGTTTAGGTATCACAGGCTGAGTCTTTCTTAGGGGTTGGGGATTAGGAGTTAAAGTTTAGGGCTTAGGGTTTGCATTAGCGGGTTTTAGGTTCGGTTTTAGAGATTAGGGTTTAACTTAAGGATTTACGATTTAGGTCTATAGTTTAGGGCTTGGGCTTGAGAGTTTTTAGGTTTTCGGTGACATAGCTGATTTGTCACTCGGTTTCTGTGTCTGGTTGGTATACTCGAAGGGTCCAAGTGGCCAATTGGAAGGGTTTCAATTTCGGTATCAAAATATTCCATTCAGAATACGGCATTTACATTTGGGTATCGATCTATCTGCCTGTCTATCTGCGTATCTATCTATCTAACTATCTATCTACGTACATATTCATCTATTCTATTTATGCTATCTATCCGGTCTATCCTATCTACCCTATCGATCCTCCCATCTATCTAATCTATCTAATCTATCTAATCTATTTAATCTATCTAATCTACCTACCTACCTACCGACCTACCTATCTGTCTATCTATCTATCTATCTATCTATCTTTCTAGTCTATCTGATCTATCTATCTGATCTGTCTATCTGATATATCTTTCTGATTTATCTATTTGATCAATTTGTCTGATCTATCTATGTGATCTATCTAGCTATCTACGTACCTACCTATCTATCTACCTATCTATCCGTCTATCGATGTAGTTTGCTATCGATCTGTCGAGCGATCCACCGATCTACTTGTCGATGCATCTATTCACATGTTTGTCTGTCTTTCTGTATCCATCTGTCTATCTGTTTGTCAGCTTGCCTGCCTGTCCTATCTATCTGTCTATCTATCTATCTATCTATCTATCTGGCCATCTGCCTGCCCACAGCAGGTCTTTCTATCTATCTACCTATCCGTCCATTATCTTTCTAGTCCATCCATCCATCCATGCACCTATCAGTCTAACTTTCTGCCTATTTGCATAGCTACCTATCTACCCTATCGACCTGTCGAAATACATATCTACCTCTCGATGCGTCTACCTATCTACGTTTCTACCTACCTGTCTGCCTGCCTATGTCTGTCTTATCTATCTACCTATCTGTCTACTTTGTCCATCTACACATTGGTGGCACAACTGGTGTATATTCACTAGAATGGAATATGGCAGCAGACCCCCGCCCCCCGCTGCCAACCACCAGTTGTGTACAGAGAAGACTGGAATAAATCACTGTGACCTACCTACCTACCTACTTACCTACCTACCCACCTACCTACCTACCTACCTCCGCATCTGCCCGGTGCCACCCACCTACCGACCTACCGACCTACCGATCCACGGACCTACCGACCTGCCTCCCTGCCACTGCCCTCTTACATGCCTACCTACGTACGCATGTAGGTATGTGTCATGCATTGCATGCCCGCGTACATGCATGCATGCATGCATGCATGCATACATACATACATACATACATACATACATACATACATACATACACGGTGGTACAAGCTTACATGCACGCCCGCATCCGGAACACGTGCTCAGAGGGTTTGAATTGCAGGACCCAGGTTCTGGGATTCCAAACCAGCAGCACGCAACTTTCGAGCACATGTTCGTAGGTCATCGAAATCGTAGCCCAGAAATTGCGAACCTCAAGTTTTTGCGCGGAGGTGACTGGGCAGGGGCTCCTGGGGCAGACGCAGCGGCAGATTGGGATTCTTTTCCTTGAGATTGCCATGTGACTTGGCCGGAGGTTTTCTGGAAAGGGTTGAAGTTCCGAAGAGGTGGGGACAAGTCAATCGGTTTAGGGAAAAGGGCGGAGGATTTAGGGCAACCTGGTCTCGAAAACCCACGCGGCATGGAAATCTGCCGCTTTTGAGACCCGCGAGCCTCAAACTCAGAATTCCCAGCTTTGATCTAGACGTAACCCCAAAAACCCAGAGACTTCAAACTTCAAGTCAAGCACCGAACGTCGCCTTTGATCAACAACCCAAGCCAGACCCGAACCATGCTTAGGCCCGAAACCGAAGTACAAAATCCTGCGACCTGGAGCTTGGATCGCGGAATCCCAGCATCAAACCCGAAAATCGAGCCCAAATTCCCAATTTGCAGCAGCACTCCGCGAGCTCGAAGTGCGGCAGAGCAACAACCAACACCCGAAACCTCAAAGCCTAAAGACAGACCCTCAAAGCCCCCTATGCTGAAAACTGATGTTGCGATTCCAAACCACGAGCCCCACTCTCCGAGGCCCATGACCGCAAGCCCCATCCGCTCCCCCGCAGGCTCCGGCACCGTTTACAGACCGGAGGTCTTGGCGAGGCCCCCAACGCGGAGGCCCTTTCTGAGGTGTTTTGGGAGTCTTGCGCGGTCTGACCGGGATGAGTTTCGCGGGCTTTGGAAGAAGGCACCGAAGGAGAGGGAGGCAGAGCGGGAGGAGGAGGAGAGGAAGAATACCAGTGCGATTCTCATCATCGGCAGCTTTGCCATCAATGTCACAACGTCAGTGCCGCCTGATCCTCATCATTTTTGTGGCTTCTTCCGTTATTTTGACGGCTTTTTGCGAATCCTCGTCCGTCGGATGCGCGATTTCTCAACCATGCATCCGAGTCCCTGAGCCGCAAACCCCCTTGGCGCCAGGAAGCCCAGGAGGCGGAGGAGCGCTTGGGTCATGCCCTGGAAGCCGCCCGGTCCGGCGCCAACCACTTGGCAGGGCACCCAACAGGGCCCTTCAGGATTTAGGCTTTAGGCAGGGGGCCCCTCGCCTCTTCCTGCTCCTCCGTCTCTCCATCTGTACTCATCTCTGTTGCTATTCTTGGGTAGATCCAAGCGGACTAACGTTCAAGTTAGTCTATTCGGCCATTGATGTCTTTGTGCTGACAGCATCTCCATGTGTGTTTACATGATGTTTACATCCACATCTACACCTGCTGTTACATTTTTGTTTTGATCTGCCTCTGCATGTCTACAGCTGTAGCTAGATGTACGTACCTGTGGCAATGTCAACGCTTACATCTACGGTTATGAGTTTATGTAGCTAAGTACCTGTCTTTGCCTGTGTTTCTGTCATGAATCTCTTCGCAGGGGGCATGTCTGTCCTTTACTGTTTGTGTTGCAAACTAGCTCTTCGAAGACTTGTGAACTTGGAAAACTAAGGCACGTCACCATGGCGTTTCAGATCAGTCCTGATCCATGTTTGTTCAGAGGTACGTGTTCTCGTCAGCGGAGAGCACTTGCGACTCTGCGACTATCTTTGAGAAACCTCTTGAAATACGCACATGCCCTACCCACAGGCTGTCACACAGCTTGCGCACTGCTGGCCGGGTGTGGGGCACGCCGCTTGGGATGGAGGACCTGCGTGGGAACGGGCAGGAGGACCTGCGTGGGAACCGGCAGGAGGACTCGTCCGGGGTCCTTTGGGGCCAACGCGCAGCGATCTGCTGTGCATGACAGTGGGGCGATGGGCTAATGCGCTCACTGGGGGACTCCCACGGTACAGATCGCAGGGAGCTTGAGAGTCTCGGCTTCCGCGCTACTGTGCCGACTGGCGGCGTCAGAAGGGGAGGCTTCGAAGTTGTCTTGAAGCAAAGAGCCGCGTGAAGATGTCAGGAGGCATGCTTGATCCTTTTGTGTTCGTGTCGCGAGCCGTCCATGCGCCCACACTTCATTGTATATCTAGCTTTGCAAAAGTTGTGGCCATGATGAATGCAATGCTCCGATATTATGTTCTGGTCCAACTTCGATGGACTCGACGATCTTGCAGACCCGCTTGAAGTGTCCACACGCACGCAGAGAATCACCCTTGTGCCACCCGCAGTCAAGGCAGCTGCTTCTGCCCTGTTAGCCCAGTGTGGGGCAACCTGCAGCGAGCTGCTTGTCATGTCTGTGCCTGACAGCATGGGGAACGGCTGATGCTCTCACTGGGGAACTCCCACGGTTCACATCTGACAGTCTGCGCTTTTGCATTCTTCTGTACTTGGAAGCTTCTTTCGTTGAGTGGCTGTATTTTCTTCTAGATTTGGAGTCTGCGATGTTGGTTGCATGGAGACCCGTTAGGCCGACTGTGTGGCTTTGCAAAGACTTACTTCTCTTCGGCTTGGTGAGCTTCTCGTGTTTCAGTCGTTGTTCTAGTAGATCAATGGAATGGGGTGTCTGATTCCATGTCTGTTTCTGTGTAGGGGTGTGACTTTCTGTACACTATGTGTATATATATATATATATACACACATATATATATATATACATGCAGACATGTGTCTGTTTATTTGTCCACCAACCTGCTTGTCTAGTTCTCGATGCTATTCTTCTCATGGCTTCAAACAAAATTTGGGGACCTTTCAGGCTGCAGACGTTGTGCACCATTGGCGAAGCTACCTCTGTCAACGTTGACAAGGCAAGGCTTCTATGACCTACATACAGGTATGTGTGTGTAGCACGCGCACACACATACATGTATCTATATATATATATATACACATGTATATACGCACGCATGCATGAAGTTATGTATATATATAAACTCATACATACAGACGCACCCATATAGGCAGGATGGATGCACTATATATTCGTAGACATGCATACATGCATGTACCTGCATACACAGGCCTATCTATCTATCTATCTATCTATCTATCTATCTATCTAGACATGAACGCATGCATGCATACATGCATACATACATGCATACATACATGCATGCATACCTACATGCAGACATATATGTATAAATAAAAAATATTTATATATATACACACATACAGAAAGAGTCGCACTGCAGGCCCGAGTTTTGAAGCTTTCTGTTTTGCCATATTATAAGCTAGGATGTTACAAAAGTCTTACATCTATTTGTTTCTATGCATTTCCGACGCACTCTCTCTCTCTCTATATATGGCGCGCCCCCCAAAACCTACCTTTCAATAGTTTGTACACTACAGTCACATCGGTTAAAGACTAGACCACACACATCACACTTACAAACAAAATATAAACATATCAAATTTGATATTGTTTGCTGCTTTGAACATCGAACATCGAAGATCCCACAAACTTTTCCCCAGGATCTTCGATGCTCAATGTTGAAAGCAGTGAAAAATATCAAAAACATATCAAGATTATCAAATTTGATAATTTTTCCCTGCCTTGAACATCGAACCTCGAAGATCCCACATAAACTTTTCCCAGGATCTTCGATGTTCAATGTTGAAAGCAACGCAAAATATCAAATTTGATAGCCGTCGCGTCGAAACCTGTCTGTAGACATGTATGCTACCACACGTTAGTACACATGCACACGCACGCACACACGCGCAAACACGGATTAGTGTATACGAACACTACTACGTAATCCGAAAGGAACCGTGTATGCAGGATCATGCCCAGTATACTGCAGTATTTATACCGAAACCCGGTCCGGATCAGAGATCAGAGATCAGACATGCCGCGCCTTGACAAGCTTTTACGTGGCATCTCTGATCTCTGATCCTGGCTGGGTTTCAGTATAATTTCAGTATAACTCAGTATTTATTCTCCAGAGAATACCTTGCTTTTCTCTTGTATACCCTAAAAAAGCCTCATAGAATACCACCTGGAACACTGTATAGAATGCCTTATAGCAAATCCTATACACGATGTTCCCTGTATATACCCTTGAGAATCCCATTGGAATACCCGAAAGAGAACCTGTTGATCAGGATTTATATGGGGGTAATCAGGAGGAGCCCATCTTGTAGCTTATTGAGCAAGGCATTTCTACGAAAGAAATGAGGAATAAAAGAGAACAGCCTGTATCGTACCTTACAGAATAGCCTTCTACAAACCTTAAAGAAGTTAATGTAAAACACGGAAATACCTTATAGAATACCACCCTGATACCTTGTATACCGAAAATCTGCGAGTTCCCCAGGAGCAGAATCCTTATAAAACACCCCCTATACATATCCTATGACATAGCTTCTGCGATACCTTGTGGAATAACCTATAGAATACTTTTTAGACTACTTCTATACCTTATAGAATACCATCTGGAATATCCTGTAGAATACCTTGCAGAAGACCGTCCACAGATGATACATCCTGTATACCTTATGTATGCCATATAGAAAGCTTACAGAATACCTCATGGGATACCCTTTAGAACCCCCTATAGAATACGCTATAAACCACCCTATAGATAGGGACTTTAGATATGGACAACCAGTCGGAGCCCAAGATCTGAGAGCTTTTGGGTAAGGGGTTCCTATCAAGAAAATCAAGAACCCAGCAGAATAGCCTTACAACCACCTTACAAAATACCACTTCTATATATTTGAAAGAATTTCATATAGAAAACCCTATAGAATATCTTCCGAAAAAGGGGCTACAGAATACCTTTTGTACAATACCTTATGGAGTACCCTGTAGAATACTTGAAAGACTGCCCTGTAGAATACCATCTGGAATAACCTGTAGTAGAATACCTTACAGAAGACCGCCTTTGTAATATACCCTGTGTATACCTCAAATATACCTCATAGAATATCCTCTAGAATACCTTTTAGGATACCCTTTAGAATACCTTATGGAATACCCTATAGCATACCATACAGATAAAGGATTCAAATAAGGAAAATCAGGCGGAATTCGCCATTTAACAGCGTAATATACAGAGGACATTAGACAATCTTGCGTTGTATTATCATGGTTCGAACGGTGTTGTGTCGTCGTAGACAGAAAATAGTAGGCAATACTTAGTATCTCTATCTCGTTTTGAACGGTTTTGTTTTGTTTTCAGACTGGGGGCACCAGGCAACTCTTAGTATCATTATCTTGGTTTGAACGGCGTTGTGTCGTCGTAATGGGGGAATACTAGGCAATACTTAGCATCACTATCTAGGTTTGAGCTGGTCTGCATCGTCGTGTGCAAGACTCTTGTTCGGAGTGGAGTCGTAACGTAGTCGAAAAAAGTACAAGAAGAGGCTTCGAGGTAGGTTTTGGAGGGGGCGTTATGCACATGCACACCAACACGTATACTTATACACACACACACAGATGCAAAGGCTTGTATGTTTGATAGAGCATGGTGTACAGATGGACAGATAAGTGGACGGATTGACCGTTTGGCTTTTTGTCAGGCTTGGAGAGGCCTGCCCAGAAGCTGGCCTACCCTTGGTTTTCGGCCAGGCCAGGGAGCACCTCGGCCATTCGCTTTCGGATACCTCTGATGTCTTCTGCCCTGCAGGCTGGTCTCGCTGTCTCGAGATGTTTTGAAACCGCGAGTCAGCCTGTAGCACGCCTGGGCATCCCTGTTGCCCACGGACAGCTTCGAGGGGCCATGTGTTGAAGCTCGGAGCGCACTGGCGAGACAAGCTGACTGCGCTCATGACATTGCGGATGCACTGCTTGTAGCATGCCGATGCAGCAGTGTTCATGGTAGTCTGAAGATGTCGTTGCTGTCGTGATGCAATGATGGCAGCAGCCAGACTTGCAAGTACTGGTAGCCACAGCAGCACCAGTCATGATAATTACTGCAACGCAGAATGGCTTCGCTCGGCCGGGGGTTCAAGTTTGCGAACGAACGCGGAGGGTAGTGGCGGGTATTGAAGTGCCAACAATCAGAGCTGACACCAGAGAGTTTATGCTAAATTTACAATAAGTTTTCATTCACAGCACGGAGATGTGGATACTCTTATTGTCATATTCAAGCAGAAGTTTCTTCATTCCGATCGGAGTTCGCATCTTATTGCAGCATCTCATCAGTCTCTGCAATGGCTCGAGAGGACCGGGCTGCAATGATCCAGGATTGGGAGCGAGTCATGTGTTGACCTGAGTACGTGAGTTACACCACAGGGTGTGGTACTTCGTGCATATTGGGATCTTGGTGCGACACTAAAACCCGAAACCTGACATTTTCCTCTTTGCCAAGGGCGGGTGTCCGTCAGCGGCTGTCTGGTCCCCAGCCACAGCTTATGCTTCTTGGCTGCAATTGAGCTCGGAAGCCTGTGTGCGGTTGATAGTCCAGAGTTACCGCTCGATTGTTGTTTGTTGCGCTTGCAAAAACTCCCAAATTTGATTATGACTCTTTTTAGCTTTCACTTGAACGTGATTTGTCTGCCCGACAGTGTTCTATCCCTGGTTCGGATGCACTGCGGGTAGGTTCGACCCGACAGGACCCGAAGAGTTTACACATGTCTTAAAGACGCATATGATCTGGTCTCAGCCTCCTGAGCTGGCAGTCGAAAGGCCCAACAATTCAGGAGTCTTGGGGCCCTTGAAGAGGCCCTCTGAAAGAAAGCACGGGTGGGAGTTTCCGAAAATAAGGGTACCTTATTTTGGGGTCCTTATAATAAGGCTCCTACTATTTGGGGTTCTATATTAGGGTCCCCTATTTTCGGAAACCCCCGTCTTGCCTGGCTTGGAGTTATGTATACATGGCACATGGCCTTCTCGCGAGACGAACACTCAATCCTGTCGACACCCTCATCGCCACATAATTTGAAGCTCCGGGGATCCGGTGTTGACCAATCCCCAGGCTGTGTGATGGATCCGTTGATCCCAGCGTCGAAGCATCGGAGAAAAGGCCGGTCGTGCTTGCGGCTACTGGGTTCTGTCCAGGTTTGGGGTCTCGGGCTTAAGGCTTAAGGCTTAAGCGCAAGTTTAACTCCCCTGGTCGTCTTGGATGATTCAGATTCATGGAAGCGTTGAAGCTGTGGGCTTCGGGTTTCGAAAACGGACGATGCGAAGCAAAAGGTTTGATCCTCACTTGCGCCAGGTTCCAGAGAGAAGAAGATGATGTCCTGCAGCGCAGAGCACAGCTGCTCTCAAGGCTGCGGCTTAGCGATTCGCCTGCCAGTACCCTGGCAGCAGGACGAGGAAAGGCCCCTTGCAACCAGACGCCAAGAGCCCTGTATGCCAAGGCTTGGATGACCTCGTGCGCAATGGCCTCACCTCATCGTTTCAAACCAGGGTCCTGAACCAGGTGCAAGAAAGGGCAAGGAGGGCTGGTCCCGATGTCCTGCGTCCCATGGGCTTGGCCTCCTCTCTCGCTTCTCGGAGGTTTTCGGGTTCCTGTCGGAGGAAGGCCCGAGAGGAGGTCTCGCAGCACGACCTGGGCCAGCGGTGAACTCACCTTGATGCCTTCATCCTTTCATCCCTTGGCTTGGAAGGGCTTTGTGCAGCTTCAGGTCCGCGCGGCCCGGCGCGTCGCAGGTCGCCGGCTACCCAAGTTGCAGATTCGCCTGCGACCTCGGAGGCTGGAAGGTAGAACGCTAGAAGCGGCGCAAGACTCACCACTGCAATCACGAGTTGCTGTGACGCCCATGACCACCGCGTGGCATGCTGTGCAGGGTTTATTCGGAGCTTCGCCAGACGCGTTGTGGCCAGAAGTGCTGTTGAAATGAGTCCGTTTGCGGTGTCTGCCGGCAGGTTTTGAAGGTTGGGCTGTCCTAGATCCTAGCCGAAGTGTACAAGAGCATCTAGCTGCCACTTCTATGCCGAAACCCTGTGCTGCTCCTTTCGCAGCACCATCAACACAGGCACGGTCGCGGATCCACAGAGGAAGACAGAGACATGACAGCTGAGGAAGTGGCTGAGCCTGAAAACAGGTTGGGTTTTGCTTCGGGTGGAACTTCGGATGCCATGTTGTCAGGATGCGACCTGAGGTAAGTATCTCCGAATCTCTGCTCCAAGATCTGAATCACCTGGGCAGCCCAGCCGACCACACTGTTGTCCGAAGCCATGAAAGTCGAACCTCAGAAGTCCGCAAAATCCACGGAAGACCACGAAAGACCTGACCGCTCGGAGAGCTCCAAAGGTCCGACGGGAGATCGAAGCGAAGCTTTCCCTGGCTCGCGACCGCGTGTACTCGCGGCTGATGTCCCAGTACGAGCACGTTGCGGCCAAGGCGCCAGGGAGCGGGAGCACGATTGGAGAGGGAGCAGTCCCACGTTGAAAAGGGCCGTTTTCACTCGCCAGACTACTGGCAAAAACTCAAGAAAGATAACTCTGAGGGCTGGTTGCAAATTGTAAGCGAAGCTTGAGTGAGAGCGACAGGGCCTGCGCCTGCCTGGGCACCGGCGTATCTCTCAAGACGTCATGAAAATTGCGGGCGTCTCAGGATATGTGCATAGCTTGATGAAGGGCGGAGGACTCAAAGATCGGCGGTCGCGTCGTCTTACAGCATACTCATAGGAGCTTTCAAAGTGTTGTTCCCTTGCCCAAGGCACGGAAAAATCTTGAAGAGGCTCGCTTGGCCTCAGGGGAGGGGCAGGCCCCTGTGCCCAAGCGGCCGCATCACCTTCTGGGCGTGCCAACGCCTCAAGGCGCTTCAGGGTTTCTCAAACCATAGCCATAGCAAGCTGAAGTGTTGGTCACATGAGAGCTGGTGCACTGCCACGAGGACCTACGAAACGCTGCAAGGGCAGTGGAGAGGAGAGGGATCCTCAGGCCATTACCTCCGATGTCGACGCGAAAGCCACCCTCGTCAGTTTAATCCCGGATCCCGAACTAAGCTCCGGCAGATGACAAGCGCACTGTTGCACTTCACAGCTTCCGATGGTCCTCAGTTGCGTCGGCCTGCAAGGGCGAGCAACAGCACACAGAGCTTGGTGACACGGACGGCCACGCCAAACGGACAGCTTCGCGAGGTGGGGGAAGTGCCAGTGGCAACCGTGCTTCAGCCGCTCCAAACCCAATAGACAAAGTATGTGCGAGGAGAGAACTTTCTCGATTTTGTGCCTTACCTTTGCCATCTTCTTGTATGATCAGTCGTCGAGTCCTCGCACGAAAGGCTCCTTGACGGCCGGCGGCTGCTGCAGCCATCCACCGAAAGTGGCTGCTCGGGTGGATCAAGACGCTTTAAGGGCCGAACGCTTAGACCCAACATGCGAGTGTGAAGTCGGTCTTCACCCTCAACGGCTCCGTCAAGCCGTGCTGGTCGGTCAAACTGCCCGAGGCCCCGTTGCAGCCGTTTGGCATCCCCGCTGTAAGAAGGCCGGTATCACAATCTTTCAAGCTCTACGCCGCAGATCAATCAACTCCAACAAACCACAAACGATTTCCCAACATGCTGTCCCTCCGCTGCGCAGGTCCAGGACCGTGGAGAATGAATCCAAGCAGGCCGGGTCACTCTAAGCTCATTGGGTTAGGTGAGGTGTAGGCGGATGTGATGTGCAACAATCAGAGACCCCAAGCAAGCCCCGAAACTTCCAAGAGACAGAGCTGTTCGCAGCCGTGTGGCGGTTGAGTTCAGGAGATTTCTCGTGAGAGCACAGCCGGTCTGCGCCTTGGAATCTGCTCGGTGCATGATCTTGAGACTCTGAAAAGATGCCGCCTGTGTAGGTCTCGTTGGAGGTATTCGGGTGTTTTTAGGGGTTAGACACGGTTGGACACTCTCCTTGAAAGCAATCGCATGGCTAGGAGTAGGACTGCAGTGATTCGGAATCTGGACCACCGGCTGCTGGCTTTTCTTGAGGACTCTGCAGCCAAGCGCACCCTGTATCAGCAATGCTGGCCACGGAAGCATCTGCCCGTCAGCCGCGCTGCAGGCTCGTCTGTGTGAAAGAATCAGATGAGTCCGAGCGAGGGAGCGCTCTGAAAGCACGGACAGACAACGAACAGAGCCAGGTCTGATGTCGTTGGGGACGAGCGTGAGGACCAGGACCAGGACGAGGCAATGGAGGACGCAGATGCCGTCAGCGACTCCGACGAGGAGGCTGAGGAAGAGCGCAAGTCGGTGGACAGCGACGAGGAGCTCAACGTGGACACGCAGCCGCAACTTGCGGAAGACGACGAAGCTGAGCAGGCCACGGGAGACTTGCAGGTTTCATGTCCTTGCAGCCGAAGCCGCTGAAGAGAGCGGCGTCCCAGCTTCTGGCAGGTGCAGCCCACGCGGAGGCTCCGGCAAAAGACAGCCGAGCAAACCCTGTCATTGCCAACTCTGCCCGCTGAGTATCCGTCTGATGCCTGGCCCCAACGATGGAGGGGCCAAGCTGCCCCAAAGCCCGGTGAGCCAGGATTCAACGTCTATGCTCAAGAGTGCATCAACACGGTACTGAGATGGTGGGATGAAAGGGGCGTGAGGGAGGGCCACGAGAAGTACCAGAAAACTGCAGCTTGTCGTGGAGAGTCTCTAGCAGCAGCACAGATACCGATAGCGACATTCGTGAGTTCAGTTCCCCTCTTATTTTCGCATCCATCCTTCCGACCCAAAGACCAAGGCAGAGGCTGTGGCGCACCCGCTTTCTCCTTGCAAGCGTCTGCTTATGGACGCCAGGATGGGAGCAGGCAAGACCAAGGCAGGCTTCTCAAGGTAGAGGGCATGCATGTGACACGGGCTACGTATGTCCGTGGCTATTTGCAGGTTCTCATCACCGTGCTGGACCAGCACTTCACCGACAAGCGCAAGAAACTGCCAATCTTTCCGACCAAGGCCTTGGCAAACAACTTTTACCACGAGCTTCTTCGGTGGCCAAATAAGTACCGCAGCTACTTTGCGCATATGCAGCCGGAGCTCGCCGCAAAGGCCGTGCCGCTGAAAGGAAGGATGACCTCGTCCTCGCTGGTACAGTCTCTGGAAGAATCCGAGTCGAAGGAGTGGAGCGTTCCTCCCACGGAGGCCAACGAACTGGCAGAGCGGCTTCGCATCGAGCTTGAAATGACATCGCTCCGCAAAGAGAGCGGGGAGCGCATGTGCGGAGTGAACCGTGGAAGATTGACCCGCACCTTCACCCGATGGTTCCAGGCTACGTTTCCAACGAAACAACACCTGCTACCTGGGGCGCCGCTCCGAGCAATGAACCTCAGCACAGCCGGCGGGAGCTTTTCTGCCAAGCGGCCAACTGGTGAAGCACGCCACCCAGTGGCACAATTCGGCTACGATCTGGCCACGAGGAACGTGTTCGACAATGCCGTGGTCGTTATTGACGAGGCCCACAACATGCTGTGCCACCCCAAGGAGTGCAAGCTTCTGAGGCCAGCCGGGGTAACAACAGCGGATGCCTCGCCCCCGCCCCGCTCGATGCAGAGGCCGCAGCTGGACTCTGCCTCCAACCTCACGCTGATTTGTGCCTTTGCTGCAGGATGCTGCAGGTCAGATCAAAACTGCAGGTTTCGATGCTTGTTTCGTCGTTAAACCCAATACCCTCGAAGGTCTCAGCGGCACACCGCTGCCGGACAACCCAAAGGCCAGGCAACCTCGTCATCTTGCCTTGAGAGTTGGCACCGGGAAGCACCACGTCCCCCTGTTTTTGAGGTGAAGCTGGCAGACTTGCCCGCCCACCTGCAGAAGCAGCGTCAGCAGCTGGAAGGACCGGGTTGGCGACTCCACTGGATGAGGGGTGCTTGCCGCGTGGAGTGCCAGGACTCCTGCATGGCTGGACGCCCGAGGTGTTGAGAATTCTGAAGGCCCGGGCGACAGCCGAGGATTCCGGACAGCTTCCAGATTGGTGCATGAGATTTTGAGATTCGTAAACTTGGAATCTGAACCACGGAGTTTTGCTAGGGCCCAGAAGAGTTACACCCGAAGAGCCCCTGGCTTCTGAGAGGCAGTCTCCAGCTCAGCAGGCCTTCCTGTTTACCTGACGGCCCATCTCTTCGGAACCTGGGCTGATGTGAAGCAGTGGTCGATGATGCTCCAGATGAACAGCAAAAGAGGAGGGATGGAAGAGGGGGAGCACGAAAATGCTAGCAGCACCACCAGGAAAGCATCATCATCATCATCGTCATCATCATCATCATCATCACCATCATCATCATCATCACCATCATCATCATCATCATCAGCATCATCACCACCATCATCATCATGATCATCATCATCATCGTCATCATCATCATCATCATCAGCATTATCACCACCATCATCACCATCATCACCATCATCACCATCATCACCATCATCACCATCATCACCATCATCACTATCACCATCATCATTGTCATGGTCATGATCCAAAAGTGCCCTGACCGCGGTGTGCACGGCGATGGGATGGCCCAGGCAAGCGCTTCTCCGGCCTCTCGAGGACGAAGCCGAGCTCCTTGGAAGGCGCCAGTGAAACATGTACTCGTCGGGTATTCAAGTTGCCGTCGTCTTGGCTCGTCATGTGCGTTGGAACATGTCTTGCTTGCAGATACTGCCACTGCTGCTGCTCTGCTACGGATAAACCTACCGACGACTACAACGACTACGAGACGCGCGAGGACTACAAGGACTACAACGACTACGACGACGACTGCAACGGCCACCACCACCACCACCACCACCACCACCACCACCACCACCACCACCACCACCACCACCACTGCGATACGACCTGCTCCTGCTCCTGCTCTGCTAGTGATACCACTACTGCTGCTGTTGTTGCTCCCGCTACTGTTCTTGCCTCTCCGGCTGATGCTCCATCAGTGACTGCTCTTTGAGGGCTGCTTAGCCGAAGTCTTGGACAGGCTTCCTGTGCTCCTATCATGGCCGGCTGCCTGGGGATTCTGCAAAGATCCTCGGGGGCTCCGCTCGCAAGGCTGGGGGTAGAGAAGGGAGCTTTGCTGTTTCCTTGAGTTGATTGCGGCGCGGATGATTCTTATGGTGCAGTAAACAGGGTACATGAGACACCCTAGCGCAAGATGAGGCTTCTTCGATTCAGGGCTTGCCAGGCTGTCGGTTTCGGCCGGCTGCATGCTGAAAGCGTCCCACGGTCGACAGTAGAGAAGGTCAGTGGAAACAATCTTGGAGGCTGAAGCGGTCTGTCGAGTCTGCTTGGCTTGAGGTGGACAAGCCCGAAAGCTGCACCTGAGGTCTGCGGCAAGGCGCTGGAGCAGCCCGTGAAGCTTCCCGCCGTGATGGCGGCCAGGTATTTCAAGAAGGCTGCACTTGGTGGCAAGAGGGGCGGGGGGCAAAGTTGCTACAAGGCTCCATGGTGCGCTCGTCCTTTTTCCGTACCGGTTTTCAAGCCAGCTTTCTCGTTGAAGTTCTCGTGGATAAGAGGTTCCAGCTTGACAGGTAAAGGAGAGGAAAGAGCTGCGCACCCTCCAGAACTATACCAACATGGAGGTCTTCACCGGGCACATGAAGCAGCAAAAGTTTGAGGATCGCGCCCTTTCAGCCCCCGACAACTATGCCGCGAAGCTTTTTGCTGCGGCTGAGGAGATCCTCAACACTGACCTGAACCCTGGGCAGCAAGATGCCCAAAGCTCCCTAAAATAATGAACCAGGGCTTCCAAAAGGCAGGCCGTGATAGCAACAGTGATTTCAACAAATGCGACTTTAGAAGCCGCATCGCATTGCCCCTAAATGCCCTAGAATGTAAAGACAAAAGCTGCCGGAACAACTGGGTCTCCAGCGAAATCGACAAAAAGCAGCTTGGGGAAGACAATATGCAAACCTTCTAACCTTATTATCTCCTTTTTCTCTGGTAGTTTTCAGGTTTCAGGGTTTTGCAGGCTGTCTTTGGTCAAGAAATCGTGGCACTGACGGTATTCCTTTAACAAGTTTAAAGCTGGGATACAAAGCTCCTGGTAGCCCCACCAAGCGACCTCTGAATTGCAAGGAAGACCGTGGTGCTCGTTCGCCGCCACACAGGCAGCCTTGCAGCATAGAGGAGAACAGCTGCAAATCATTGCAACTCCACGTGTGACATCGCAAGCCTTCATCACCGAACTTGCTTCTCTGGAGCTTCTTGCAGTCAGTGGTCCTCCAGGCTACGAATTCTTTGTGAAGTTGCTTCGCCATCTCGAGACGTCACGGGGGATGAACATCGGCATTGCCACGCTGGAAGACAAGGCATGCGCCATCACCTTGTGCTCGATTGGCTCGCCTGGTGTTGGTTTGGCACCGTCAAATCCTGAAAGACTTGACACCCTTGGAATTCACAACACCATCATGGTTTGGAGACTCTCTGACTGCAGTGACGTGATGTGTGTTCAAGCGTTCGTCCCGTGGCAGAGAGATGCCCGCAAACTTTATTCAGATTTTCTGCTCTCTTCGCAGGCAGTCTTCAACTGCTTCGACACCAACCTGCGGGGAGAGCGGTTCCGGGTGCTCGTCGGGGAAACCGGTGAGGTGGGAGCCAGAGAACACGGACTCCTCAATGCGCCACCCTCCGATGGTGGGTTCTTACCCCATACCCTTTTCTGTCGCCCTGAGGCCGGAGAGGGCAGCAGCTTCTTCTGCGTGCGCATGCTTTACCTGCTCGAGACTTGGCATCAGCCAGCACGGATGGTTTGCTAAGTTCAAGCATGGGGTTTCAACCCTCGCGCGGCAGATTGGAAAGGCTGCCCACGCAAGTTCGATCTCTGAATGAAGGGTGAATCAGAAGCCGCCGCCCAAGACTCCCCGACAAACAGGGGGTTGGCAAGGAATTAGTTGGGCCTTGGATCCCGAAGCCCGCCTCATCTCAGGATGTGCCTCTCACCGCAACTGACTTCGAGCAGTGCAAGGCCACAGAAGTCCCTGGAGCCTGGGACAAGAGCATCAGAAGCCCAAGTGTGAGTAATTCTCACGCCAGGCGCGTGTTGACCGTGCCAACAGCCACCGCGGGCTACCAGAAGAAGAGCGCACCGTCCAGGTGGGAGCCAGGAGGGCTTGCAGGGCTTGGCTTCACATGGAGAGTCCTGTCCCTCAGGTGAAGATTGTCTGCTTCTTGGATGCAGACAAACGGACATGAGTGATCGTTAGTGATGTGGATGTCTTCTCTGGAAGCTGGCAAAACATGTCGGGGATATGTAAACTTCCTGTCTACTTGGCGCGGGCAGGTGGGCAGCTTCATGGTTTTAAATCCCCGCAAGGTGCAGCGTTGCCCCGCCCTCTCAAGAACTATCTTGGCTCCTTCTTCTGGCTGAGCGGCTTTGCTGCGCCCATCGGCAGCGAAAAGCCCGCAGCCTGTCTGCACAAAATAGCGAGCAGATGACGGGCTGTTTCGCTGCTCGAGTAAGGTTTCGAAATGTCAGGCTCAGATGCATACTCTTGTAACATGCTTCTACCTCAGGCCTGAGCTGGTTCGTCATAGAGTAGAGACAGATCTAGAACGAGCATCCCAACAAGATCAGTCTCTCTGATTGGCTCCACAGGATGTGGCTTTTGCCAAACTGTGCGTACCTGGGTTTACGAAGTCAGGATCACCTAGAATCATGGGTTGGATTTATGTACGGCCACTGTAGTTGTCAGAAGAGTGAGGACGGAAGTAGGGCTGGGGCCCAGCTGGGGTCTGCTGCAGCTGAGGCTGTCTGGGAGCGCTATCTTCGGAAGGCACTCGAATGTCAGAACATCCTTGCATCGGAGCGTAGGTTAGCTTGCGCGGTCTTGCAGCTTGCATAGAGTGATGATGCTACTCGGCCGATGCTGCGGTTTGCGCCAGCAACGCTTCCGCGACAGGTGGAAAAGGGTGTTGACATCCTCGAAACTAAGTTCCGGATAAAGCGCAGAGACCCGGACTGCCTAGAAGAGCTTCAGGACAGGCTCCAGGTGTCTTGGCATGAAAAATGCACGGGATAGTGGAAATTAGTATTCGGATCATGGTGATCATCGTCATCATCATCATCATCATCATCGTCATCGTCATCGTCATCGTCATCGTCATCGTCATCGTCATCGTCATCGTCATCGTCACCGTCGTCATCGTCATCCTCATCATCATCATCATCATCATCATCATCATCGTCATCGTCACCATCATCACCATCACAATCACCATCAACATCACCATCATCATCATCATCATCATCATCATCACCATCATCATCATTATCGTTGTCATCATCGTCACCACCACCACCACCATCATCATCATCATCATCATCACAATCGTCATCATCGCTACCCTCATCATGATTGCAGCAGCAAAGTTTTTAGACCGCCTGCTTGTACATGAGTATTGGGGAAAGCATGCGTGTTATCTTCAAAATCAGCGGCTAAATGCCGCATACGGCCGTATGCCAGATTTTGCTTGGTTTGGGGATTCAACACACCGAGTGCCACGCAAGGCACAAGATTTTGAATGCAATGACGATGCACGAGGTTTGTGGCATTCATGGCTCAGTCCGCAGAACATTCATTTGGAAGTCGAACTCAGCACCTGCTTGGGCACAGGCAAAGCAGCAATGTTTTTCGCATGTGCAAAAACTCATCTTCGCATGGCGACAGCACCCGCAGCAGAAACTTTTCCCCCTTTCCACCCTTTCCGCATGTAGCCCAGGACGATGAGTGGGAGGACCAAGCCACCCGGATGCATGGACCAGTACTGAATAGCTCCCGGACTTGTAAGTCCTGAAGCCACCTCAGCAAAGGTCACCCTTTCTGTGTAGCGCTTCGTTTTTCTTATAAGTCGTCATCCATGGAAAGATCTGCAGAAAGGGTTCGACTGCATCCGAAACGCTAAATTCCCCAAACACTACCAAGTGTCGGTGCCGTTCTTGAAGCGTTCGACCAGCATAAGTGCAAAGTGCCGAACTCAACCAAAGCGCACCCTGGCCCAAGCCGCAAGCTCTATGGACAAACGCAAAGTCCGGTTGCATGCTGAGGCCGAGGCTGTCGACGAGGAGTTCAAGAAGCTCAAGCTCCCCCAGCAGGCGTCGTGGCATGCCAGGTGTGTTATCCTGCATGTTTTTTTTGGAATGGCCTCCCAGAGCGTGACAAGTCGGTGGCAGTGTGTGCATGATGCAGCCATTGCAACGAGCTTCATCGGACGGATAGGGCAAACCCGCAGTCCTCTCCAAGCATGTCCAAGCCAAGGCTCTAGCTCCCTGACGCGAGGGTGAGTGTCACTGATGAAAGGTCTTGAGAGAGTCTAGCTGCGTCTAGCAATTCACTAAAATACGCAAAGTACCTCAAGCGGTATACTCTACTATAATTCTACTAAGGAACCCCCAAAACAGTATAGGCAATTCTTACGGCCTCAAGATCAAGGGGGGCCTCGATGGAAATGTGTCTTTGAGGTGCTCAATCGCTTGAGGCGCTCCGGCACAGTGGCCACGAGCTCTCTTTGTGCCCGCTGGCGAAGGTTTGAGGACTTGGAAAGAGATTCGGGTTTAGGGTCTAGGGTNNGGGTTTAGGGTTTAGGGATCACACTTGGGGCTAAGGTCACGTTCGGCTGTTGAGTGGGGACTGACAGGAAGGCAGGAAAGGTCATGTGATCTCATTTCCGAGAGAGAGGATCTCAAGCCAGTCCGGAGGCGACGGCGCTAGTGCCGGCCTTTGGTCAAAGCCGGGGCTGTAATGCGATGGTAAAATCATACGAAGTGATGAACTCTTACGAAGTGGTGAAGTCTTATTGGAGTTCTTAGGTAATGACAGTAGCGTCAGACTCCGGAAGCCGGAAGCCTTGCAAGAGCATAAAAGCCCGGGGCCCGAAATCTGAACTCAGCATGTCCAACTTGTTAGTTCGCTGGCACCTCAGCACAGCCCAGACGGAAACGGTGGACGAGATCGTCTGCAAGGATCTTGCGAAACGGTGCAAGGCCGTTCGGAGTGCGGAGTGATAACTGGCAGGCTTGTCCGCACCATGCACACAAGGTGGAAGCAGGCAGCGACACGAACAATGGGAGTGGGGATTTGCTGCAAACCTTTCAATTTCTCAGAATGAATCTGGATGTATATTTACATATATATATATAT